TCCCTACCTACAAGTGCCAGGAGACATCGGAGGTAACCAGAACATACTGATGTCGATCCAGGGCGCCCCGATACTCCGCGACGAGGCAAAAGGCTGTGGCTTGCATACATCGAGGGGCGCAGAACATTTTAGTTATTCTGTGGGGTAACGGCGGATCATTTACCCGGTACCCTCCAGAACAAAATGCTTCCTAACTCCCTACTATTCGTAACGGAACCTTTGCATCTAGTCCCCCCCTTCAGTGCGCCTTTTCTGTCGGAGTAATAAACAAACCAAAGCTCAAACCAAGGCTCATGACCGCCACGTCGATCTCCAAGGGTGTCCGGTCGTCTTCGTATTCGTTCTTTGTGACCGATCTGGCATGATTTCACCGCTTTGAGACCTTTCGAAAAGGGGGATGCAACCCCCCAGGTACCCAGTAGGTAGGTAGGTAGGCAGGCATAGTCTTCTAAGCCCTTTAGTTAGTGGAAGTTAAAAGGAATATCTCGCAGACCCCGAGGAGCAAGGGCCCGGCGATGTGGGTTGATAGTGAGGAATCCCCTCCAGACGCAGGACTGTGTGGGGGGGAGAGAGAGAGAAGAGGTCGTGTGTAGCGTTCGGCTTAGCAACAGTAAGTGTTGGCTCGCCGTGGGCAAATAACGGCGATTATGATTGCTCACTGTTGCCCTTTACATTTGTGCCTAAACTGGTGTGACATACTCTGTAATATGCCACAAGGAGCCCTAGTTGGTGCCTGCGAGGTAAAGTACCTACAGTAGAAGCAAACCTCGGCACTGGTGCAGATCAGATAGCTCTGGGATGCTCGAGTTATGCAAGGCCAAGCCCCCCATATGTGCAAATTTTGTGAGGGCCAAGACGACGGAGCAAAGAGTTCTAAAATAGTTCTGGAAGCTACGAGTCATTCAGATAGGGGTATTCTTACGGAGGGCAAGAAACACCCTGTATGTTTCAGCTGGGCAAACCTCTGTCGCACGGTGGACCCTAGTTGGCTAAGGCTGTCACTGGGGTATACGAGGTAGTAAGAAGGCATTACTAGTACCTCGTAGTTAGGCGCTTGCCATTGGAACACAGCCATGCCGCGCCGATTTTGAATCAACGGCGCACTGGTGCCAGCTCCGCTTGTCCAAAAACAAATGCTCCGAAGTCGATGAGGCAACGGTTACGTGTTTACCGTGCAAGTTATCGTAGAATAACTACCTTGCCTATTTAGCTAGGCTGCCCCATCTTTATCAGCGTCGAACTTTTTCACTCGACTTCCCATTTCGGCAGTTAAAATGGGAAGAGGGCTTCAAAATCCCTGAGAGCCAGCACTAATGTCGACTGCCAACTCAAGCGTAATTAATTGAACCCATTAGCCTGTGGGGGGGGGAGGTCCGGGAACCGGTTATCCGGTTCATGTGGGACCTGCATCGACATATCGTGGAAGGCAAGGGGGGGGGGGGCAACGCACCCCTTTTAGCAAGTAAAAACGGCTGCGATACTACTATCGCCAACTTCATTACTTATGGGGGGTTGAGGGTATGGGAATAGACCCGCGACGAACAAGGGACCATGGTAATGAGACTAAAATCGGAAAGGTCTATCGGTGTTCTCGTCAAGAACTAGCAAGCGAGGTTGCTGTCGAACAGGGGAGGGAATTGCAAAGCCTGCGCCGGCGCCGGGAGCAACGAAGTTGCAAAACAATTTTGCAAAGCAAAATCTGTCGATACATCAATTCCTTGCTTTCGATTTGGGGCCAAGGCTGAGAAATTCAGGGGAATTCCGAGCATGTGAAAGCCCGGAATTGTTGGGTATGTCTCGAGTCCATAAGGAAGTAAAAGCAAGGCCCGTTGCACATGTTGACGAGGGAAGTGAAGAGGATAAAGGCATCGAGTTAGCTTTCTACTGCTGGGTCAATGCATCCCCCGGTTAGCCGGAGTCTCAACTTGCAAGGCAAGGGTCCAAGTACCAATGCATGTATCGAGTAACTCAGGAGATGCCATGCAACTGCTAAGGATGGACACCACGGACACGATCGTCGCTCAGCTCTTGGAGTCTTGAAATAAAAGCACATGAAAATGTCATGCAACTGTCCATCCTGAGTTTAGACCTAGCAGTCAGAAAGAGCATTCTGGAATTAAATGCATGTGAAAACATTAGACACCCCCCTGTAATATCTTCGGGGGTGCTTGCGAGAGACCACAGCCAAGTTCGAGTAACCTAGTTGCGAGTCAGAAAGTTAGGAATTTGCTCAATGTACCCTACAATCGAGGGTGGTGTTACTGGCCTCGGGCCCGAGTGAGGCGGGTATGTACGAGCGCACAATCAGGCGGTCAATGTCGCAAGATCTTGCCTATCTGCCTATCAAGTACCTGTCCATGACGAATCAGCCGAGCCGTCCGAAGGATCGAGCCGCCGCTTGCTACCGCGTGAATACCAGGAGCTGATCGACATCGTGAGAATTCACGTCTTGGAATCGGAGTTAAAATTGATTGTCAATGCTGAGTCTGCACTTATTCTTCGTGCATCGAAGCGTCCGCGGAAAAGGGACAGTCAGATGTCAGGGCTCGGAGTATGCATCCAGTCAGGGGAACCTAACCTTCAACATGTGGGTGGAAGGTAGGACTCATAGGTCCAAGCGAAAGGTCCGCTCTCGCAACAGCTATCTATCGCATGATCCGCTAACAACAGACGGTCAGATATTGACAAGAAGGAAGGAGGAAGGAGAGGATAAGGTGGTGAGAAATGGGTTGCGGGTGACCAGGCTGTGGAGCCGAGGAGCGCGCCGAGCTCTTTGCCTAACGGGAACGGCACCTTCCGCGCCGCACACACGGGGGGGAAGGGGGGAGCGTTTTGAAATACGTATGGTTAAGCGGACAGGGTGATTTAGATGGGTGGCTCCCGAAGATGCATGTTCCGGTGATGATCGATCCGCACTAAGCATCCCAGGGCAATGGGTGTGCATGTGTGTGCATAGCGTACCTACATAGTATGGAGGGCCGACGGCGAGGCTCCACGTGGGATGTCTTGATAGCGATACGCCTAGACATAGCCTATCTCGCCAGCTCTGTCACATTCGGGATGATGGCCGGACTCTTACTTTTTACAGTACGAAGGAGGAGCTTGTGTGATGTGCCACGGGGGCTTGGACAGGGGCGAATGGCAATGGGATCAGAAGGAACGTTGCAGGAAATTCCAGTTAATTCGAACAAGCTCGAGCTCGCCCCCGGGGGTCGAGTTTGGGGGTGACATTGCTTTGGAGGAGGTGAGACGTCCAGTAGGATGGTGGTTTAGTTGATTGATTGCTTGATTGATGGAACAAATACCAACGAGAAGGTATTATTGCTTATGCGAGTAGTCAAAGATAGGTAGGTGGTTTGGGGGTTAGTGATTAGGCGGGCGGCAAAGTTTGGGTGGTGGGTGTAGGGGAGGTGAGGGTGGCGAAGGGGCGAAGGGGCGAAGGGGGGGAGGCGGAGGCCTGTACGCACCTACTTGGTACGTGCTAACTACCTCAGTGATTAGCCATGTAGCAGGTAGCAGGCTGCACTGTAACTAGGCGTGCTAGGGAAGGTACTGGGTACTCTCTCCTTGGTCCAAGGCTGTGACTTGGTTAACCACACCGAGCCAGTCGCTTGCGAAGAACTGGTCACGTTCACCCACGAATCTCCCTCGGACGTTGACCTGTATCACCACTTGGATAAAAATATGTGACCATGGCATCCGTAACGACCCAAAATGTCGAATACAAAACTTACAGAATTCAGGTTCTGGTACTCTCTCTTACCATACAGAAGGTATCGACACCCCAAAGAAGAATAACAAAGTTCATTGCATGAAAGTGAAGTGAAGAGAGTGAGTACTAGTTGCGAGGTGCGAGGTATGCTGCACCATCGTCGCTTTCCAGGCGGTGATGTCACCCCTCGTATTTCGAGTTTTCACTTCGACTTCACTTCCACCTCACTTCGACTCACGTCTGCCGCAGTGTGTTTGTAACAAGTATATGGGAGTCATATTATGACTGAATGAAAGTGAGTGAGTAACCGAGTGAGTCGACTCTTCTCTGCCACATCATCACCGAATGACTCCATCTTCGTCCAAAGGTAAAGAAGTGCAAAGGTCGTGAGTTTGCCTCTTTGCATCACTTGATCACTTGCCCTTCCTCTTCCTGCTCCTCCTCCTCCGCCGCCGCTTCTCTTTTCCCTTTATTCTCCTCCCGATCTACCAAGTACATCTAGATTTGGATTTGTCCCATCCCCCAGCATCCATCCCCCATCACGCTTGATCAGATTCGGAAGCTTATCATCCGCCTTTTTTCTCTCCTTCCCTCCTTCCCAATAACCGAAACAGCACTTGGTCGGCCGACCGCCCTAGCCAGCACCCCAAAGCGGTTCCATCATCTGGCCGAGAAACGTGAAATCAAGGAACCTTTGTTGATGAGTGCCAACTCATCAATCAGCATGTCACTTGACAACGCCAGCCTCAGTAAGCCTGCAGCTCCTTTGTTGCCTCGTCCAGCTTCGCCTTGCCTTGCGGTGCGGGCTAAAACCCTTTGCCACCATCCAAGGCCGCCCCCAACCCTTCTAAAATCCCCCCGGGCGCCTCCGCGTCGAATCCCTTTCTAGCTTGGGGTGATTGGGGGGAAGGGGGACCGGTGGTTCAGCCGATGAAACACTGCCCATCGGTCATCTGACTGCTGAGTTGTTCCCAGCTGCTGATCGCTTATTGCGCATTGCGCCCAATATCCAGGCACCAGCCGTGTCAGCACCCAAATTGAGCATCAACCACCCCCCGAGAACCCAACGCCAATCGCGTCGTCACCGGGTCAATCACAGCCGAGGGTATGTCGCTTTTTCAATACAAACAAAGGTAATCACTCTTCTGTCTTTTACTCTGCAATTTTTCCATTGGCCCAGCTGGTGTAATAAATTCCTCCAATAGCCTAAATTGACACATGCACGGCATGCTGTCTGATGCCTGGCTTAGCAGCTGCGCAGATCACTGGCCATTTCGTACCCTCAATCATGGAATTGGCCATCAACGAAATGACTTCACGTGATAACCCAGCTAATCATCGTCCCAGGCTGTCGAGCTGGCTTGCAATGCCCGTTCAAACACCTTCAGCCTAAAGACAGAGTCACAAACCCTAGGCCAAAACCAGACCCTCGACAGGCCGAAGGTGCCCAAGGCCCCTCGGTCGTGCAAGAACGCCAGGCTCTGTCTCACCAAACCAGGGCGTTGGTCTCTGGCTCGTCTCCAAGTCAGAAGCCCCTATCCCAACTCCAACAGAGCAATCCGCGTGAATTCCAGCTGGGTCAAGTGATTAGGAGGTTTTCTCCAGTTCGGAGAGACACGCCTGGTGACACTACCTTGTCCTTCGCCCTAGCGCCCTCGGATCCAGACTTTCCATTCGAGCTTGAAGGCGGTCTCCATTGCATCCTGACCGTCCCTACACCATATCTGCAAAATGGCAGACCGACCATCAAAGTCACAAATGCCGAAATGGCCCGGGGTTTCCAGATCAACGTGGAAAAGGGGTTTGACAGCCTTGTCCAATCCTCCCCGAATAAGACGCTGTTGGCGCTTTTGAACGAGCTGGACAAGCACCTTGAGAAGTTCTTGACATCTGAAAAGGCTCAGACCATTAAGATCATTGCAAATGCCGACAAGAACTCCAGAACCCCTGAGCCTGTGCCACAAGTGGCCCGTCTGCCCTCCCCTCCACCCATATCCGTAGCGCCGCGTCCACTTTGGACAAACGTAGACAGGTCCAACGCCCTAGCTAAGAGGGAAGCTGATGTTCGTCAACTCGAAGCTCGCATGGGACGAATTCCGCACTACTCTAAAAGCCCTGATGGAACGACTTTCAACATTCCTATACAAGTGGCCAAATCGGACCGCCTCCCCCTTAACCTACAACCGCTCAGGGAAGTCACGCTGATTGTCCCGCGGCTTTATAACCTGGAGCCTTGCACGGTGCTATTGAAGGGCGTCAGTGGCTCAGAAGCTGAGACCGTTCAGTTGGCTTTTGAAAGACATGTCCGAAAACACCTGGACATGACCCTCATGGCTCATATCAACTACTTGACCCAGAATATTCATTCAATGGCTTCAGAGATGGCACAGACCACAGCTCGGACGGCTCCACCAGATATCCCAGCTCCGCAGCAGCCTCCGGTCGAGGAAACACAGCAGGGGGTGTCGACAGAGGAGGGTGTAGAAGAACCCAGAGGGCTGATCTCGGACGAAGGCCGACCGCATGTGATGTTCATCCCTCGACCTCCTGAATGGGACCGACAGGATGATTCTGAGTCGTCTTACGACTCTGGCGAATTCTCCGGCTCTGAAGATGAGGAACAAACCGACGACGAGGACGAGGCTGACTCAGGCGGTGCGGCGCTTCCAGTCTCATCAACTGCAACCGAAAAGGGAATCCATATTTCCTTCCCCAACCTGGAGCTCCATAACATCGAGCTTCTGACCTTGGCGTCCCTATCACTCTCCGTCAAGTGCCTGCGCTGCAAATCTCCTCTGGACATTTCTAACATTAAGCCCAGCGGTGACGAGACTAGCCCTTCGGCGTCCAGTGTGCGTACCGCATCCTGCCCCAAGTGCACAACACCCTTCACGGTCTCTTATACTCCCAATGCCTTGCATGCCAACACCGTCCGGGCGGGCACGATTGAAATCACAGGCTGCACAATCACCGACCTCCTCCCGTCGGTCTTCCAACCCACCTGTGCATCTTGTTCCACAACCTTCCCGGTCCCCCCGGGCATGGTCTCCGTACGGGGCGATACTCCGATCCAGGTGTGTCGGTCATGCCACGCCAAAATGACATTCACGATACACGAGGTCAAGTTCCTCCGCGTGTCCCACGCCTCCTCAGACACGCTCCCGCTACGGCGGCCGAAGAAAGAAAACCTAGGTATCTCTGCGGGCACGCCCCTGCCGGACAACGGCACCTGTGCGCACTACCGACACAGCTACCGCTGGTTCCGCTTCAGCTGCTGCCACCGCGTGTACCCGTGCGACCGGTGCCACGACGCCGCCGAAGCCCACGTCAACGAGCACGCTGACCGCATGGTCTGCGGGTGGTGCTCGCGCGAGCAGAGGTTCCGGAGCGAAGATTGTGGTGTCTGCGGGCGAAGTGTGATCAGACGGCGCAGGGCGGCCGGCGGGTTCTGGGAAGGCGGCAAGGGCACGCGCGACAAAGGTCTGATGAGTCGCAAGGAGAAGAGGAAGTATAAGCGGCCCCGAGGAAGCGCAGTGGGATCCGCCGCGGTCGCCGCAAAAAAGGATGCTGCGAAGTAGATTATTTTGATCTCGCACCAAGGTCTATATTATATACATAGCGTTTGACGTCGATAGTTAGCCTTGTGTGGAAACTCCGATAGCCCTGAAAATGCTGCGTCCAATGTTACACACCTCCCATCTGCCTGCCTGCCTGCCTGCCTGCCTGCCTGCCTGCCTGCCTACCTGCCTGTCTCACCACTCTCATTACAGCACGTATCTATAGTGCACATATCAAAGACACGTGGTGCATAGACCCGACAACTCCTGACCCCTCCTCCTCCTCGTCCTGCGCCTGCTCCTGCTGCTGGTGCAGGCACGCGTTGGCATTCCTTACCTCCTCATGTTCCATGACACCCCAGACCTTCGCCCACACGTCGTATGCGCCCTCGTCGCAAGCACCTGCGAGCCAGAGGAAGCGGCACACGAGGGCTCGCAGGTGGGCGAAGTCCACAACCTCCAGTCTCGCAGAGCACGTTGCCACGAGATCGACGAAGAAAGCTTCGTCATCGTCGCTGTTCTTGGACGCGAGAGCGCCGAGGACCGCAATCCACAGGAGGAACGCCGCCCCGCGACCCGCCGTCGTTGGCCCATTGCACGTCGCTATTGAAGGAGACGACGGGTGGTGCTCAACCTCGATTCTTAACTGCTTAGCCAGAACGCGCAAGGGTCTTGGCCTGGCGACGGGGTAAATGACGCCGTAGCTGAAAATCATGGCCGCGAGACGGCAGAGTTCTTCCTCTCGGCTCCCGTACCGGGGTAGCCGCAACAGGCGGTGCTGGATGAGATTGCGATAGACGTTCGTTTCCCAGGCCACCCCCGACGAGGCCACCAGGTCGTCGGCAGCACCATCACCGCCCCCGCCACCGCCGCCCTCAGAAGCACCACCCGATTCTGCCGCGATTCTCTCTAGCTCTCGGCAGTACATTCTCATGTCGAGGAGCAGGTCCTTGAAATCAGTGTCGTGGATGGTGGGAAACGCCTCGTCAAGTCTCTCGCGGGGCGGGCGGACCATCTTGACATGGTTCTCAAGCACGTGCTGGTAGAGGCGGCAGAGGGTGAAATTTGGGCGGCACAGCGATAAACTTGCCCGTAGGATGTCTGTGGACTGGATCTGTTCCGCAACACCAGGCATCGAGACATGTTGGAGGCCACCTCGCGCAGCCACGAGGGATTTGACCGCGAGCATGTGAGACGGCGTCCAGCGAAAGTGGGAGAAATATTGGATCCAACCGAGTGATCGTAGCGGGGGATCGAAGCCTCCAAAGCAGTGTTCTCCTCCACCTGCCTTGTGCACAGCCATGCGAGGGTCAGTGTCGCGTATCGTAAGGGCAAGAACTGCAAAAATCAAAGAGTCCGAGACTTGGTTCCGATCGATATGCTCGCGAATGCTCTGAACTGCCCTATTCTGGCAGGCGAACATGACCGCGTCGTTGGCAATGGCGGTATGGGGCAGGTGCATCGACATGGCCAATGCGGCGGTCCAGACGAATGAGTTGAGCAACAGGTCATCGACCATGCTCAGGTGAAAGAAGGCTGAGGTTAAGGACTCGTTGGTCTCGAGGCTGTAATGCTTGAACGAAGGCCAGAGGATCGTGCGGGCGTAATGGTGGACTCTCCGTATCCCATGGTTCGCAAGCAGCACCGCACATCCCAGCACCGGGGAGGTGATTTGCTGAAGCTCTGTTTGAGAGTGCAGGGCAACCTGGCCGAATGTGTTATCGGGAAGCGGAGCATCTCCTCCAGACGCTGTTTGCTTGCCTTTGCCTTTTTGATCCGCTGCACGTACAACTTCCCGCGGCGCAAGGGAGACAGGCTTTTGTTGCCTGCAGGCAGCTGACGCCCTTTTTGCCTCTCGTTCTGCTGCTCTCCTGCGGCCTGGAAATGTGACATTGAGTCAGGCGACAGCATCTTCATGGGAAGATTTCACATAGACGTACGATATGAGCGCTGGTTCAGACGATTCTGGATCCTTCTCCTGGCTCTCGCGTCAGACAAACCGGCCCAGTCGTCCTCTTCCCTTCTTGCTTCTGTGGGCAGCCTCCTTTCGAAGACGACCCGGGACGGTTGAGTCTCCATTGTGTCTTTCGGGTCCGTCTGTTGCCCTTGTTTGAGCTCTTGTCATTTTGCGAGGAGAGACTCTACAGGCTCATTCCCACCCGAGACAGCACTTGATCCCGAGCCTCAAAAAGGCCGTAAATACGCAGCCCTCCCAACACGCTGACTCGGTGATTGCAGCAAGAGATGATGATCCCGGCCACGTTATTTGCCAAGCAGAGATGCTGGCAGCTTAACTCCGAAGAACCAATCAACAATGCTATTATTCACCGGCGCCATCTGCAGCCTTGCATGAGTCGGCCTTCTGTAGCTCCTGTCGATCCATGTTGATCACAGAACTGAAGTCGCCCCTGGCATTAACATGCTCGGTTCGCGGGCAGCTGACGCAAGATAGCCTACTAATAGGTATAAGCAAGGTCAGCCCCGAGAACGTTTTTCAAGGCAGTACTTGAGACAGCATTGTGGTGAGCACGAATAGCGAGTTAGTAAAGGAGGATTAGGTCGGCGCTCGACAGGTGTCTTCCGGCAGAGATTGTTAGCAGACGATAAATGATCGATGGCAAACTAGTGACAATCACGGCTTTTTCATTTTTCTATCCGATCTGCCAACGGGTATCATTTTGTACACTCTTTCGAATCATGTCTTCATGCAGGCTTTTGCCGCAAACGCCCTTAAATGCTGAGGCAATGCCGCTGGAACAAGTCTAGAAGTCGTTATCGTCGCTGCCCGCCACAATCACGTTGTTGATTTTCAGGACCTGTTTGAACTATGTGAGCTAAAGAGAGCAACCCGCACGACGACGAGACGTACCATTCGACATAGCTGGGTTGCAAGGAGCAACTGCGATCGTTTTCCAATAAGGGGGTCGATGACAAAATTGGCCCGCATATCTTCCAGGAGTCAGTAAAGCCCGATGCTAGCAATAAATTAGAACGTACCACTGTTTCCAGTTCCCATGCAATCAACGCCTAACCTAGAGTTCTGTTCCTTGATCTGCCGCGACTTCACTTCGGCCAGCGTCTCAATCGGACTCAGACCAGAATTCTCTGCCAGAGCCATCGGAATCGCGTCCAAAGCGTCGGCAAACGCTCTCATGGCATACTGTTCTAAACCCGGCGATTTCGAAGCAGCATCCTCGACAGCGAGAGAACAAGCAATTTCGGCAGCACCACCACCGTAGACGACTCTGTTGTCTCTGACGAGGTTGCGAACAACACAAAGAGCGTCATGAAGGGATCTCTTCGCCTCATCGATGATCATCTTGTTGCTGCCCCTTACGAAGACTGTGACAGCTCGAGTATTGGCGCACTCTTCGATGACCAGCATCTTTTCTCGAGTGGTCCCAAATGTCATTTCTCGGACCACGCCAGCCTTGCCTAGTTTCTCCCTGCTCAGGTCCTCGAATCGCGGCACGATTCGACCGTTGGTAGCAATCGCTATCAATTCGATTTCAGGGCCGCCGACCCACCGTACCGCCGGAAGCTTGTTTTGAAGAAGGAGGTGGTTTGCCTCGTCATCGAAACCCCATTGACAAATCACAAGATTGGCCCCTGTGGCTTTGATCATGTCGATCATCTCGACGAATTTGTTCTTTTCGTACTGCTGCAGCTTCCTGAATTCTTCCACAGTGGATATATCGAGCTTATGCTTGGTCTTTGGTTTGGGCGGTTCGAAGGCACATGTCAGGATGGCCAGTTTGGCGTCCCTCACTTCACTCGGCATCTGCGGATGGGAAAAGTCTTTGTCGATGATGACTCCCTTGACCAGTAAAGAGTCCTCGATTGAACCACCTGCTTTGCCGTCGACCTTGATGAGCTCGAAATCGACATCTTTTCGCTCGAGGTCGGCAACAGACATGACGGCATCGACTGCGATCTTCGCGAACTGGTCATGGGACTTGCTGACAATTTTGCTCCCGAGACTGGTTTTGGCAACCTTGATCAGATTTTCTTGCTTCTCGCGACTAAAGGCGATTTCATCACTGATTTTGTCCAGATGTGCGACAGCAATCTCGCAAGCCTGGTCGAAGCCGTCGGCAATGCGAATGGGATGGATGCCTTTATCGATGAGATCTGCGGCCTGATCGAGGAGAGCAGCAGCCAGGACGACGACACCAGTTGTACCATCACCAATCTCTTCATCTTGTGACTTTGAAAGTTCGACCATGAGTTTAGCGATAGGATGTGTTATTTCCATCTCTGACATGATTGTGCGGCCATCGTTTGATATCTGAATGTCCCCATCTGGAGATATGAGGATCTTGTCGAGACCCCGCGGGCCTAATGAGGTTCTGACAATGTTTGCAATCGTGCGGGCTGCAACGATGTGTTGCTTGACAGCCTCTATACCATGTGTTCTCTTCTTCTTTCCCTGGTCTCGGACGACAATGAAAGGTCTTCCCGTCTCGTCCTTCAGGATTTGAGCCTGAGATAAATCCAACTGCATCGCCATGATGAGTGTGTTTCCAAGTGAAGCCGCAGTCCGCCCTCCTCCTAACGTTAGTCGCAATTTCCGTTTTCCTTGATGGTGGGTGTGAATGTGGTGTGAGTTCGTGCCTGCGGATTGTGCAGAGTTTGACTGCGGATGAGGCGATGCAGTAAGGGATCTGCTGCTATTTACTCGTTCTCAGGTCTTCCCCATACAGATCCAACTCAGCGCAGACAATGACGACCGGATGCGTGTTCTCTGAAGTGTGATGGCTAACTGGCTGCGGAACTGGTTCGATAGTGGCACCAGTTGGTGAACATGGTTCTCGAAATTTTGGAGACATGCCTGCCCCGCTGCTTTTGCCATCGCCAAGGATAGTCTACCCTTTTCGGAAATATAGTAGCGCTGCCCTACTGGGTACTGGACTTCTCTACCTCGAAGTTCCAAACCTAGTCAAGCCTAGTTCACCCCGACCTTAAGTACGACGGTACGTCGCGTTCACGGAGGTGATTAGCATATCTTTAACACTATTTAACTTGGGAGGACTCAGGAAATAGTCGTTATTGAGGTTAAGCATAAATTAAATAAGTGTGAGAGCGCCGTGGACAAGACTCAAGACAAATTTTGTTAATAGGCACCTGGCTAAATAACATGCTCTTTAAGAACGGGTTCTTTCCTGCCCCCCCCCCCCGAATCCAGGATGTCAACTCAGTGCTGGACGATGCCGCCCCATAGCACTGGAATTCCATGATGCTGAAGATGACATGGACTGGAAATTTATTAGCCTCTGTTCAGGAATCGTACCAATTGCTCACCAAAGTCGAAAACACAGACAGTGCAGAAGACGTTCAAGCCCAATGCAACCACTGCTGGACCCATGGTTAGTTTCCTGATCAACGCAGATATTCCCACCTCACACGACCCGAGAATGTGCGGGTTCATCATCCTCTTGCCTGCGCACTCACACGGAGTCTATGGCGAGTGAACGTTCATTGCCGACTCTACGCGTTCTCGATCTATTTCCCACTCGATATGGAGCTGGAAACCTCGAATCATGTCTGTTACTGAACGCTGACGCGGGCTATAAGAAGAAATCGCGTGTCGGCAATATTCCCATTTCATTGTTCAACTGTCTCGATATCCTTACGAGCCTTGGAGGCTTCTTCTGTGAAGACAAAGCTGGATCGCAAGTGCCGTCTTATCCTTGGTTGGGAACAGGGAGCAACAGCTTGCACGTTCCCTCCGACACTGAATAGCTGCGAGGTCGAGAGGCTCTAGTCATCAATGGAATTCTTCACCCTGACTGGTCGCGAGGTTCAGAGCACTAAGTGTTAAGTCAAGATGAAGACCTTCTGCCCTACTACACAGTTTAAGAATGAAATAGTGAAGGCTGGACTAGTTATCAACAACAAATTCGTCCCAAGCCAGAACTCCTCGACTCTGGATATCCACAATCCGTACTCGGCGAAGTTCAGTACAGGCCCAACACACTTCTATAACATCCTTCGCAGCAGTCACTCATCCAATGCAAAGACCCTGAACAACAATCCAGGCAGGATTTGTTTCATGTATCATGCTGTGCTCGCTTCGGGTGCAAATAGGGCCATTGTTTGCTCCTGCAAACCGACCTTGTGTCCTTGATGTTGGAATCGGAACAGGGTTTTGGGCGATCGATGTCGCAGATGCGCACCCGGACGCTGCAGTCATCGGAAGAACTTACCAGAGGCCAATTCACCCGGATTATGTATTTCCAAATCGCCGGCTCGAGATTGCGGATGCCGATGAGGAATGGATGTTTCCGTAGGAATTCGACATTTTTCGTTGTCGCGTCATGAAGGGATACGACTTTGTAAGACTGGCCTCATTTCCACCGAGAAGCTTTTCACCGCCTCGGAGGGCCGATGAACGGAAGGAGTCAATGGAATCAGCATCAAAGGCCACTGTGACCCCGACTTGGTCATGTAGCAGATGCGTTGTGCCGGCTTCGCGAATATCACAAGTCTTAATTTCAAGTTGCCCGTCAGGCCGTAGGCAAAGAAGCCGATTTTGAGGAAAGTTGGCATGTTCGGATATTATACGAGTGCAATGGACAATTTCCGTGGTTCGAGGGCAAAGGTTTTCACCCAGATATTGGGCTGGACGGGCGAGGAGTTGGAAGTCTTGCTTACCGAGTGTGAGCGGGAGTTGAGGCACAAGGATATCCATGGTGACTTGCTCATGTGGGTTCGCGATCCAACTTTCTTGGCCGCTACTTGCAAAAGTCTCTTCAGCCTTGATGATTCCCTGAAGAAACTTCTAGTCCAGGATTGTTACAACTCTCGAATCAGTATCGGTCACATAACATAGCGCGAAGAGCTTCAGCTGAAGTGACTCCTTCCGTACCTATCTCGTTATGAAGGTATGCGTCGACAACGAAAACGTAGGTGCATCATGCCCCAGAAACGAAACAATCACGGCTGGAAAAGCCGATCCATGAAGTGGCATCACAAGGACTTGGATATGGTCAATACTTTCGCCCCAAATTGAATGGCGTAGATTGTTATGAAACCCAAAAGGTCAAGTGAGTGATGAGAGATTAGTTGACGTGAGCAGTCAACGGCGGGTATCATTACGAGGTATTCGGTAGACTGCCAAGACCGCTACTATTAACTGTATGTACCCAGTACTGGGTAGCGCCCATTTGAATCGGCGGCTCGGCGGGTCTGAATGGGTTTCCACGTGAGCTTGAGGTCCAAGTAGGTCCCAGTCGCTTTCTCCGCGTTCTGCTCCCAGCCACACAGAATATTATCGTCGCATCGCGTTGCCGAGTCTAGATAATTTCCTGTCGCTTTTCATAACGCTTTCATTGCATCACAAGCTTCCTGATGCGATAGCGAACTTTCAATATTCCTCTGTTTCCGCGGCAGCCGCGCAACAGTCCAGAATGCCTCACGGTTTTGGTAAGTTTTGCCATCCACTCCGCGTGAGCCTCTGACCTCTCAACCTCACCGAGTCGTCCATTGTCGCACACCGTCTCGACCAGTTACTGATGCCCTCTGCAGAAGACATGGAGGAATCAGATGACATCTTCCACGAGCCTGAGCAAGAAAGCGACACGGAAGCAAAGAAACAGCTCAATGGGGAATTGAAAGACAAGGCTGATGAAGAAGTACCCGGAGAGGAGGCGCCAGTTGCTCCTGAAGACGCGGGCCATGATTTGAAGGGCGATGTGAATGGCAGCACAAAAGAAGGAGATGGCGATTCTGGAAATGATGACGATTTGGGACAAGATGACGATGAGGGCGGAGAAGACGGCGAGGAGTACTCCGTCGAGACAATTCGCGATCACAAATTCTCCAAGGGCCAGACGCTCTACCTGATCAAATGGCAAGGCTACGGGGAAGAGGAGAACACCTGGGAACCTGAAGATCACTTGATACCGTAGGTCTGATAACGGCGTCTGCATCGAAATGGTGTCGGGGTCGAAAACACAGCTAACACAGCATCCACTTTCTAGACATTCTCGCGCAGTTCTCAAAGAGTACCACAAGAAAATAGGTGGGAAGCCAGTTCCACCTCCTGCCAGGATAAGGTCAAAGCAGAAGTTGCGCGAAACGCCTTCTTCCGAAGAGCACCGTGCCTCGAAGCGTCGGAAACGCAACAAAGATGTTTCGGCTAGCCCCGCTGAAGAAACTACCGAAGAATCCTGGCTTCCTGAGGGGGAAGACTGGGAGGATCAGGTCGCCAGTGTCGAGATGGTGGACCAAGACGACAACGGACTATTGCACGCCTATATCAAGTTCAAAAATGGCAGGCGGACAAGAGTCGGCATGGACAAGATCTACAAACACTGCCCCAGACCAATGCTCCGGTTCTATGAAGGCCACCTGAGGTTCAGGTAAGAAAGGTCATACCGAGGACTCGGGCGCAGCCATGCTGAGAAACAACCTCAGTTACGGTAAGTCAACGCCAAAGAAATCGCCTTCTCGCACCTGTATATTACTTTCCACGCCCTTACTCGACAGATCAGGACACCTTGGAAAGCTCATTCCGTTTTGGCTGCCGGGAGTTTGACGGCCTTTCTTTTTTGGTGTACGGGACTGGAACGGCATGGTAGGCCGGGGGAAGGAAAGGTTTGGAGTTCGTTTGACCAAGGCGGACTAGGTTCTCGGGCATGACAGAGGGACGATCAATGGGAATTGAGCATCTCGCTTGAGAACAGGGAGTGAGCGTGTGGAGCTCGCAAACAAAAACAGTAGGACAAGAGGATTGCATCCAGGAATGCAGACAACAGAGCGAGAGAGACGACCCGGTTCAACTTGAAGCAAGAGCAGGGAAGCAAGCACATGCAAGCATTGGATGGCAGGCTAACTAAGTCAACATAGGTTACAATGAGCTGGATGTGTATTAGTCTTTTCTTTCCATCTATCTCGTGCCTACAAGTAGTACTTTGGCGTCATATTTTGTCAACTGCGACAACGGCTCGCTAGGCCGTTTGTGCCGTTGAACCCTCCAGGTCCCTCCGTCACCCCTCGACAAACTCCTCCAGAAAAACAAAGCGAGCATCACAGATATCGCGCCCATGTTTGCTCAACACCTTTCTGGCATCACTTTCGTTCGGGCTTAGGAGGAGCGAGTCGTCTGTCTCAGTCCATACGCCGCGCATAGCCTTCGGAAGGAGACTCTCCATATCCAAGTCAGCTTCTGCTGGGACGGCGGACCTTCCAACGCCGTTGGAGCGGCTCTTCCTTCGCCGCTCGTTCATCGCCTGACGACGGTTTTCCAGCATGATATCCACAACCTCGCTTGCAAGTCCGAAATCGAAGCTGGTAGCCTCGATGGCCTTGAACAACACAGGTTTTAGGTTCGGGACACGTGGGTGTAGGTCACGCTGAAGGGCGATCCAATTGTCCGTCTCGTGCCCATCCGGTTCGGCGGAGGAGGATTCATTCTGTCCTTGTGCTATCGTCCGTTCTTCAACTTCTTTCCCTTTGCCCTTGACATTTTCAGAGGGACCGGACATGTCTCCAGCGCCTGGTGATGATCCCAGTTCCACATCAGCGGAACCAAAGAGCATGAGAGGAGAATGGAGAAGGTTGTGGTCTTCTATCTTGACCTGGACTTCCGGGTAATCCGGACTTTGGACGGGTTGATCTCCTTCTCCAAACATCGTTGCCTCCGCACCGATATCTTCGTCGTTAGGCATCACAGATAGATCAATACCAATCTCCCCTAGTCCCCCTGGTGGTTCGGGCAGCTCGAAAGCCAAGTCAAGCTCGTCGTTGATACCTTTGAGCCGGTCGATCAGTGCCTGCGACGCGATTGTTCCATCCGGCGATTGAGGCTGTTCTTCTGGTCCTGTCTCATATTCCTGGATAGACTCCTGGGCGGTTTCGAACTTTTCAGATGCCTCAGGCTTGTTTGGGGGATTTAAGCCGCTGAAATCTGCATCCACACCTAACTCTGAATCATCATTTTGTTGCTGCTCCTCGTCGTCGTCATGTTCCGGCACAAAGAGTGGCGAATCGTCACGGTAGCTGCGTGAAGGCTTTCGCGAGTTAGACGGAGTGGCAAGACGCGAGAGCTGATCATCTTCTTTTGAGCCTGTTAAGGGACGAGTATGTACTTGACCATGTACCAGATTCTCAGTACCGATTGAGGGGTGTTGTCGAACACTCGTGCTTCCGGGTCCATCTTGCTGTTGCTTCCGCTTGCCTTTTGGGGAAGCTGGGAACGCCGAAGCAGTCTTTGTCGCTGTGTGTTTCTCAGCCTGAGACGACAGTCGCATTTGCGCGTCGCCCTCCTTCGACTGGGCTTCTCCCATTTCTGCTGTCAGACCCTGCGACGGAGCAGTTTGACTTTGATTCTCCCCTTCAAGACTGTAGTCCAGAGTCTGACTTTGAGTGCCGGATCTGTTCGACTCCTGCGTAGACTCCGATTGGGTACCCCTTCCAGCACGCCTCTTCCTCGACTCGTTAGGTTCGGGTGGGCGATTTAGGGCCGGAAGTTGCATTCGAAGTGAAGGAGACGTGAGGCACGGAGACTGCTGAGAATTCTCTCGGCGAACAGACCTGGAAGGGCCAACACTGCCTTCCGGACCAAACAGAGGCTTCTGCTTTTCACTGCTTGCGAGATTGGAGTCTGGGGTAAGAATTATTTGTGCAACAGAATCTTTCTGAGCAGCTGTGACGTGGGGTGATGTTGCATTTGTTCTGGATTGTTTGTTTTCGTCTGTATTCAAACTGCTTTCTTCAGTTGACCAAGTTACCGAGGGCCTATGATGGCCATGTTGTCTCACAAACTCCGCGCATTCATAGCAGATGAGTTTTCCTTCTTTATCATGTCGCCATTTGACAGTTTCGACTGTAAAACAGTTCGTACATTGATATTCTTCCTGGGTTTCAGTTGAATGCGATATCGATTGATCTCCTTCCTGAGAGTCGAGCATCTCAGATGCACCAGTAGTTTGTTCATCTGATTTCCCAGACAAATAGGGAGCGACTTCTGACATGGGTAACTTGTTGTTTTTGCAGTAGTCAGGGAGAACTCTTGAGACATAGAAATGCTTCCATTCCGCAGGCGTGCGGGTACCACCAGGGTGCTCGGCCAATTCCTCCCACGGCGCGTCGAAGTCGTTGAACTCCCCACCGACATACAACGCAGCCAACTCGTAAAGCTCGTCGTATTCTTTTTTGGTGAAAGATCCATAGGAGGCCGACTGGGCTTTCCTTGCTGACTGCACCTGTTTGCCATCGATTTGCAAAACATCAAGGTGTTTGGGCTTCTCACCAGCAGGCGATACGTATTGAACAGCGACTTTAGACGGCGTTCGGTCTGCAATTCCGTCGACTCTGGCTGTTGCGGATCGATTTTGTTCGCCCTCATGTTCGCCCTCATGTTCGGCTCTTTGTGCCTCCCCGTCATCGTGCAATTCTCGTCGTCGCTTCTTCTTTTGTAACGCATGCGAGGGTTGCGTTGGCGGGGTGGCCGCACGAAGTTCTCCAGAGACAACGGCATTGCTGACATCTCTCTTCTGGAATTGAGTATGTTTTATCCATCTATCGCGCCAGCTCTGGAATGTATGTCTCGGGTTCGCCTCTTCCATCTGCTTGTATATCTCATTTCCTTTCCAGGCTCCTCCACGGTCTATGAATGGCTTCATCCAATCCCACAGGAACTGATCGTCCTCCGGCGTGAAGGGTGTCCTTCCCGACTTGGGGGCCGTGAGGGTACTGCCGACAGGTCTCGAGACCCTTGAAGGAGCTCCGACAGCATGATCGGCGAGATTCTCAAGTCGACCATTGCGGAGGGAGTGCTCGACGTATCTGTACGAGTATGTTCCTGGCGCATTGTTCTTCTTGAGGTGGTCTACCAGTCTGACATCGGCATCGGTGTCTCTGTCGACGATAATGGCGCCGTTAAGTCGAGCATTTTGGATCATGCACTGCCGCTGAGGGATGACGTGAGAGAACCATAACCTTTGGCCGGCGAACAGATTCGAGTGAGGTTGATGGTCATCATCACGCGTGCGCGGCACATCTTGATACACAATGTGGCCTGACATTTGCGGGCGGCTGGTGAGGATGAGGGGTTGCGGCAGCGCTATCGTTGCATTTTGTCGGTGCAGGTGGTGTGCAGGTGTTTACTGATGATCGAAGTCAACAAAGAGGCCCTGTCGCTCTCTCCGCACTCTTGGTCTGCCCGCGACCTGCCCGCACGAACCCACGTGACACCTACCCAGCTCGCCAGTACCCCCAGGTTTGCTACCTCCGGAGTACCTAATACCCTGGACTTGAACAAGATACGGGATACGTTCCACAACCCATAGGCCGACCAAGAAAGGTAAATCTGCCCCGAGAGGAGGCGAATATAGGGCGGAATTGAGCGCGACATCAACGAGAGCCCCGAAGCGTGGGAGGGAGACGGCAAGTTATCGGAAGCGGGCTGACAGGTTTGGGGCATCAAGTCCCTGCAAGTCCCGCCATGCTGGACCTTATTATCAGCTGGCCTCCGATTCGTGTGCCGAATTGTACAGATTGTATGGCATTGTGTGTTGTGGCTCCACCATTTGCACCATCTGCTCGGGGGTCGCTGGGCCCTACGGCGCTGCCTGCGACTTTCTGTCTGTTTCTCGGCTGCTGCCACTGCTGCTGGGTGACTGCTTTCCCGACCGACAGTTTGGCAACTTCTCTTGCACAAAATCAATTAATACATTCTCTCCCTTCACCTCCACCCTCGCTGTTCCCTGCTCCCTGCTCCCTGCTCTCTGCTCCTTGCTCCTTAATCCTTACTCCCTGCGCAACCCTCCCTCGTCCACCTGCTTCCCACCTGCACCGAGTCGAGCGCCGTCCTGTCTTCCTGCTCTACCTCATCTCAATAGAAGAAGCCGTTGTCCTCATCTCACACAATCCTCCCTCCCGCCCAACCACAACCTTTGCCAGCCATGTCTCAAGAACTCACGTACGCCGAGGTGTCCAAGCACAACACCAAAAAAGATCTCTACGTTGTCATCCACGACAAGATCTACAATGCCTCGACTTTCATCGACGAGCATCCGTATGTGCTGTTGTGTTTCCAATATTCCCCGATACCTTCTGTCTTCCCCCACTGATAGTGGCCCCACATGGCCATTGACATTTGACAATTCTTCCCCATTTCCATTCCCCGGCATTGATGTGTTCGCAACTGACGACCATGCGTTATCCATCTAGTGGCGGTGAAGAAGTCCTTCTTGACGTGGGAGGCCAAGACGCAACCGAGGCTTTCGAAGATGTCGGCCACTCAGACGAAGCCCGTGAAATCCTCGACGGCCTCAAAGTCGGAACCCTGAAGCGCGTACCTGGTGACCCGGCCCCCAAGGTCGGTGCCACTGACAAGATTGCTGCTGGCCCTGGTGGCAGAAACGGCGAGGGCGGCACTGGCATGGGCGTTGCCATGTATGCTGTTCTCTTGATTGGTGCGGCGCTGGCATATTTCGGATACACATACATGCAAACCCAAGACAAGAAATAGATGGCGTCTATGCCTGTGAAGGGATTGCTGGCGGCGAACGTCTTGGGGTTACTGGAACGGTTGCGGAATCAAGAACATGTCAGCCTTCGATTTCGTTTCTGGGATTTGCACATTTACAGAAGGTGGCTGCAATGTTTCGTGCACAAAACAGCTGCGCAAGGTGTTGCAAATCTCCTTGGGCCAGAAGACCTCTTCTACACCTTTTTGCTCATCTGTGAATACACAAAGGATAAATACCAGATCAAGCTACTTCGACATCAGCCTACTCGAGAAAGCCATCCATCTAGCTCAGTCAACCATTCTGGAAATATCTGCTTATGGTGCAGACCGGGGGGTTTCTCTGCTCGGCCTTCTGGTGTATGGGAACGTTTGAGCCGAATCAGATGTTCTCCGCTTACTACAGGTGATAGATCGAAGTATTGGGTCTGGCTTTCTGTAGTTGAAAGGGCCGTTGAAGTTTTAAAATGTCGCTCCTGTTCACGTTGGCATCCTTCCATTTCCTTGCGTTACTTTTTCTCAAGAGATTCAGACCTATTTTGCTTTTATACTCGTCGTTTCGGATTTGATATTCCCTCTAAACCGATCACCTACGACACGAATCCGAGTTCCTGACTCCATTGTCGCGCCAGACAGGCAGGCAGGCAGGACGTACGTCGTCTACGGCCGACCACCAGACAAGCTTGTGGGGCGAGATTCAAACCCATGCCATATGCGCATATACGTACCTACATGATGTATGCATACATAAGTGTACCCGTGCCTTTTTCAACCCCAGGTGTGATGTACCTATATTTATATATCCTTGTACATATATTGTGTGAGTATACGGATGTATATATGTGAGCTTGGTTCACTTAGGGATAGAGGCCAACGAGAGCTGAAGAGACGATCCTAGACTACTGATGTACCTAGGGTAGGTGTCGAGAATTGTACAGACTTCTGCGTAAGGTGCTACGGAACAGAGCGAGGTGCTGTGACCGACTACAGCCGCGTTTCAGTATTGTGCGAGCGAGCGAGTTTGAGAAGCGTTCGAGTTTGGACTTGAAAGCTCAATTTCATGTTAAAATTCAAGTACAGTTTCATTCGACTTCTACTTCAACATCGACTTCCATCCGAAGGCGGAGCTGGGATGACCTGAGCTGAAGCGGAGCCAAGCGGGAGTTCAATGGCCACAAAAAGCGATGAGGACTTTGTTCTTCGGTCGTCATAGGGGGTTCAACCACGTCGTCGTCGTTAGCCGTGTTGTGTTGTGCGGGACCTTCTTTTGACCTAAGACTTCGCGCCACCATCGTGTCACAGCACCACAACGCCGACCATGCAACGCCATAATCCTCGCAGCCCTCCCGATTCCCTCCATATTCCCCTTCTTGGTGCCCTTACCGTCAGCCGCGAACCGGATTCGAAGGCTCCAAGTTGAACTTCCAATAAACAAATTCCCATTGCCATTGTGATGTGATTGTCTCAAGCTCCGGGGGAAAGCATTTGACGACATTGCTTCGACAGAAAATTTCGAGTCCTGCAGACAAGAGTCGGAGCCATGAATGGAGGAAGGGACCGAGGCAGGGAAAGTTCTGCACGCATCTCCAAGGATTGTACATCATCATTCTCCCTCGTTCATGCCGATGTCATATGGAGTATTGTTCCCTTTGCCTGCCCTTTAACTTCCTCAATGCGATTCATCGGGTGGCCATTGCTGCGCTTCATCTCATTCTCCCTTGTCAAAGTCCTCCTCGTCTACCATATTACCGGTAATAACTCGTCGGCCTCTGGCTATATGCTTGATACTGCGGGTTCGCTGGCGCCTGTGTAGGCGAAAACACTGGATACGCCGAGCTCTGTGCGAGCGGTGTAATGGGTCTCTGTGTGGGATCGCCAGGGACCGGAGGTGGGACGTGACTTGGGGCTGGAGGTGGAGAAGTAACGGGCGGCACTGGATAATCGTATGATGCGGGTGGTTGAGATGGTGGATATTGTGTCGGTGGAGGTTGCGAGGGCGGCTGTTGTCCCTGAGGCATTCCTTGCGGTGGGGGATATGTCTGTGGAGGCCCCGAAGGAGGCTGTGATGTTGGTGGCAGATGTTGATGGCTATGCAGATCATCGGTGGAGTAGTTTGAAGGCGAATAATCTTTCCCTTCATCTCCATACTGTAGCTGGGCCACATTCGGTGGTTGAATGACTGGGTACGTTTGGTGTCCCGGTCGAGCAGAACCGTCGCTGGGAGGAGGGTACGTTGCGTAAGGGTCCGAAGGTTGAGGGTGGGATTGGCGACGGAGTGGTCCTTGAGCTGGATTCGGGTAGGAGGGATATCCATCAGGGAGTTGAGAAGGGGGAGGTTGGGGCTGATTTGAAGGAGTCTGGCTTTGAGGCGGTGGCGAGGCTACCGGATACGGAGGCTGAAAGCCTGGTTGTTGTTGTTGTTGTTGTTGTTGTTGTTGCTGGTTTGAAGCGTAGGGTACGGCATTATTCGGTGGTTGGCCATCTGACATTACCGCTGTTTAGATTTTGTCCCCGAAAAGTTCGTCCGAGGATTATTCAGAACTCACCAGGCGTGTAATATCTTTGAGGTGGGTAACCCTGCTGGACAGGCGGGCCACCTCCTCCAGGGCCGTACCCGTACGCTGCAGGGCCAGGGCGAGCGTATTGTGCGGCCGACTGAGCCATGGATGACTCCAAAAGCGCTTCGTAGTCACGTCGCGCTTTGATGAATTTCTCGTTGAGTTGCTGGAAATCATCTAGACGACCAAAATATTAGCGATTCATCGCACGATGACAGACCCTCCTCTGTCTGGATTTACCTTTCTTCTGTGTATATTTCCCAATCAACTCGATTAGCTTCGGCCGTATTGCCAATGTACTGTGGTACAACTCCGTAATCTCCTCGTTGTCGCGCACGTTCATATCCCCCGTGCTCGTGCTCAAAAGGGCGAGCAGTTTCTCGACGTTTTTGATCTGCCCAAACACCTCTGCCTCCATTTGCGCTTCTTTCTGCAGTTCCTCGGGAGTGGGATCTTGTAGCTTCTCAACGTAATTGAGGGGGAATATGCCGGTTTGGCCGCGTAAAGAGCCTTTCCACCAATCTTTATAGACAGATTCGAGCACAGCTATGACGTCGCCCTTGCGAAACTGTAATTCGCCGGGTTCAGAGGGTTGGAAGTCGAAGAGCGCTCGTACTCGTGAGACGGTTGCGGCAGTTGTACCTGAGGGCACGGGGTGATGCTCTGCCTGTTGCGAACTCGCACCTGATGGCTGGGCTGCTAATTCCGCAGGACTGCCAGAGGGTTGGCTCGATGGGCCGGCGGCGGATTTGTCTTGTATTGAGAGTTTGAGGGCCATTTGCAATTCTTCTTCTTCTCTCCGCCTGTCCCATTCTGTGATTGCGCTTTTGACGGGGGCCTGAGGGGGTGGAAGGTTGGGATCTAGGCATCTCAGTCAATCTTCTAGAGTATCGCGCTGCACACCGCAGTCCGAACTCACTCTGTGCTTTCAATCTCATATATGCCTGCTCCATGATGCCCAATTCGGTATTGCTCGAGAAATCTTTGGTCCAGGCCTCCATTCTTTCCACTATCTTGGACTTGACTTGTTGGTGCGTATTCTAGAGCGTCTCCATCAGCAATATGCCTCGTCGCACGACACAGCCACATCCTGGATCATCCACAAGGAACCAAAGGACCACCCACTCGATCATTCGCCAACCTCAACAAAGCCTCCGTAAAACTTCGGCTTGCCAGCTCCCTGTGCATCTGAATGCCGCAATTCTGTGACAGGGCATTGGCAAGCTCCAGGGTGTAGAGTTGGACATTGGCATTGCGATGCGCGAGTCTTTTGATCATGGCAGCCACCACATCTTTGCTGCCGCTGTCGCTAGACGAGACTCTGTCGCAGACGTCGAGGATGTATTCCCAGTTCTCGGAGGTCAGGTTTTCGTCGGTTGCTTTGGCTATATAGGACACGAGCAAGAAAAACAAGGGTTAGTACAGGTATACAGCGTGAGGCCGCTATGAAGCGAAGTGCGGTGCGCTCAAGATCCCAAGCTTACCAACGGCGTCGTCGAATGCATTTTGTTGTGCCCGGAACATGGCGGGCAGAGGATCTTAATTGATCGAATCAAGGCTTTCAAAGAATAGAGATCAAGAGTCAAAGCGGACGCAATAAGTTGACATGAACAGCAGGCTCGCGATGGAAGCACGACTTATCTTCGGGCTGGGATGCGGCGCAGCCTAATTCACCGTGCCAGTACGAGGTAGGCACGAACTGACCTCCAGCCTGCTCCAGCTTTTAGCGGCCATCGAGTGTCAGTGACGCAGCAGTATCGGGTGGCGGGTGAAAGGTGGAGCATCCTCCGCACCAGCCACTGCAGTCTGCGCGCCATGGTGCGTATGACAGGCAGTACCGGAGCACCACAGGACAAGCACAGTACGAATTGTATTATGGACTACGGAGTACTCGGTACCTAGCTGTCAGTGGCTCGCTAGCTACTGGCTACACGTGCCAAAAATACTTGGTGACCCGTAGAGGTATCGAGTATACATCGCTGCTATCCAGCAACGTGTAGAAAGACAACCCATCACACCACACAAAATGGAAGCTCGTTATTTCGAGGAGCTTTCTCGTCTACATGGCTCATCTGCTTGCCTTGCTGTTACACGTGGAGGTCAAAATTCCTTGCTCATCTCGGCGCTTTTAGACCTCTACATACCATCGTCCCGGAATCTCATAGCCACCAGACGGGCCTGAGGCCATTCATTGCCCGTAACCGATAACCGATAACCCAGGGCCTATTGCATTGCCCATATCCCATCCATCAAACTCCTTTGCCCTCTCATCTGATCATAATGTTTTCTTCGGGGTCGTAAAAAAAAAAAAAAAACAGCAAGCTGATCGCTTACGGAGAACGCTGCTCGAAGTAAGGATGGGTACCCACAAGTCGACGTGGGCAAGAATCGACTGCCGCCGACGAACGCGAAAGAAGAAGAAAAAAAAACTCTCTCCCAAGAGGTTCCGTTGCAGTGCGTCTAATAAGTCGCCTCTTCTCAATTCTTGTTCTGCCAGCTGACAATGCATGTTGAAAGATGCAAATGAGCATATGACACTCCAGCCCAAGGGGGGCCAAGAGCATATCTCGCTGATCGTGTGGTCGCGTTTGTCCAAAACACAGGCAAGTCGGATAAAGGTCTCATCTCAATCACACGTGGTCACAGTAATTGTACAAGAATCAGACCACCACAACCATTAAGTGCCTCTATTGGCCTTCTCTGCGGCTCTGCTTTCTTTCGCAGATTGAACGAGAGGAGCTAGGCTGGAGAGCGGGGCACAATTATGCATGAATGGATGCTGGTTTTCCATGTTAGAGGCATAGACTCGGTAACGTAGGAGATGGCTTACATGTAGCAGGTCGTGAGCACTTGCTCGCTTCTCGGGTTCAACTTTCAAGGCGAAATAAAGAAAATCTCGGAAGACCGGCGACAGGTTTTGCTCGTCCTTGATACGTGGTGTACCGTACTTAGCGATCAAGTACAAGGCCCGCAGCGGTGACTCGGTCAGATATGGTGGTTCTCCCTCGATCATCTCGATCGCCATGATGCCCAAACTCCAGATGTCGACTTTTCGACCGTATTCTTTTCTGGTCACAACCTCTGGAGCCATCCAATACGGGGTTCCTACCATTGTTGTGCGTTTGTTGTGAGCATCATTGATTTGGGCACAGAAGCCAAAATCTGTGAGCTTGATGTCACCTCGTTCCGAAAGGAGGATGTTATCAGACTTGATGTCTCGATGAATCACATTTTTAGAATGCAGGTGTTGTAAGCCGTAGAGCGTCTGAGACAGTCAGCAGTGGATCGCGGCGCCGACCTCCCGAAGAAATACGAACCTCTCTACACACTGCAGCAATTTGACCTTCGCTCATGACATTGAATGTCACCACATCGGTCAGGCTGCCGCCTTGCATGTATTCCATGACAACCCACAAGTCTCCCTCGTGCAGATAGCTGTCGATAAAGTTGACAATGTTCTTATGCTTGCTGTCCTTCATCACAATAATCTCATTGATAATCAGGTCTTTCTTTGGTTGTTGTTCTAGGTTCATCTGCTTGATGGCGACACATCTCTTTGTGCCATTTTCGAAGGCTGTATAGACACCACCAGAGGCACCTTGTCCAATTTTGTTAAGATTGCTGTACTTTGTAGTGGGGTCACCGGGAGTGCATATTGCTCGTAACCTCGCTGTGACATCCACGATGTTGCTTTGCTGTCGCTTCTGTCGCGGCCGAGGCACCGCAGCTACCTGCGGAGTACCTTCAATGGCTGGCGAAGCTGCCACAGCAGCAAATTGCGCCTGTGGAATGTTGGGGCTGATGTGTTGAGGCAAGATCTTTGGTGGAACCTCGGGGGCACCTTGCGCCACTTGACGCTGACTTCGACTTCGATCTAGTTGTTTATCCTGGATGGCTTGTTGTGCCAGAAGCATTGCTTGTTCTTGCTGCTGTTGATACTGAGCCGGAGACTGGATTGCCGGCTGAGTGCGAGGAGGTGTCGCAGCCGGTCCTTTCGAACCGGAACGACTCCGAGCTTCTTCCTGAGGAATCGATGGCGTGTTAGGCAGAGAGGCTGGTGGAGGCTGCGGTTTCGGCTGCTCCTGCACTGGCCGTAGCGGTAGGTCTCGGCTCAGGGGAGGCGGTGGTGCAGGCCGAGAGGGTGCCATTTCTCGCAGATTCTGTACAGGGGGCTTGGGAGCAGGTCGATTGGGCATCATCAGCATCGGCGACTGACTTTGCTTCATACCTGCCATCGCGCTAGCGGGAGGGCCTTTCGGTACCGGCGGCGGCGCGCGAGGATTCTCAAAGCTGCCCTCATGATTCTGAGGAAACCGAGGACTAGCCGGGGGTGAGATTATACCCGCCATGGGAGAGTACGATGCAGCGCTGGACCCGATGACTGGCGTCACCGGGCTCTGATAGCTGCTGTTGCTACTTTGAGGAGAGTCGGAGAGTTTGGCATGGTCGAATTTCTGCCATACCCCATCCTCATTGCCGCCCAAGTTGTTCTTGTAGGTCTCGACAATGTTGACCATCATCTGCGGATTCTGGTCTTGCTCGGTCTTGGTGATGCCACTGTCGGACAGGATCCTCTGCCAGTCCGCAGGTAGTCCCTGTTGGATATGTATCAGCCGTCACGCTCGATAGTGGGGGCCATTCCGATCAATCGGTCAATGGATCAACAGATGATGGGTCCAACCCGTCGACGACTTACCGTAAACTGCCCCGTCTGGTTGTCGTAGCCGACGTGTATCATGTGGAGTGGATTTTCTGGAGCCGAGATCTTGATGGTTTTCGGAGAGCCCAACATGTTATTGACGAAGCTGGAGAAGCCGCTCTTCTTGCGAAAAGGCCCGGCCGGTTTTGTGTGGCCGTCCCCTGAGAAGCGCTTAGGACTAAGCGTGCCATTTTCTGATTTAGGAGGCGTGACTTCCATCATTGCGACCATTCCAGGTCCGAAGGTCTGTGAGTTCCGTAGTGGATGAGTTCGCAGGTCGGGGCTTGTATGGCTCTGGGTCAATGGTGGGGGAAATGGTGACTGAGCACCCGCATTCTGGTTTTCGTTCATGCCGGTGGCTTGAAAAGAAGTCAAAAGGCCTGAGGCGTCAAACGGCGCACCGATCAAGTCCTTGTGACGGTCATCTGGATTCTGGGGCGTGAGGGGGAGGTGGTGCAGTGCTGTGTAGCCGTTGACGGACGATGCGAAGGCGTTGATGGAGGGGACGATGGGGGAGGGTGCGCCGCTGCTGTGCTCAAGCGAGGATGTGGAAGAGGCGAACGCGCTGGACTGGGTTCTCTGATGGAAATCGCGAGACGATAGTGAAGTGTGGTGACTGCGTGGGTATGGAGATGGAGCTGACGGGGCCCGTTGAAGTGTGGTAGACGACTGTTGTTTGCGTACAGAGGCCTTGGAGGGGAAGGCAGAGGGGGGAGGATTCTTGGTGAGAGTATTTCGACGTCGCTTGGAAGAGGTGAAGGTGGCCAAGGTGGAAGATGTCGTGGTATGGACGTTGTCCATGGTTCAAGGTCAACCCGGAACGTGAAGGTTGGCAGGTGCGAGGTGCGAGGTGCAAGGTGCAAGGTGCAAGTGCCACTGGAGTGTGTGGACTGAGTGGGCTGTGGACTGCAGACTTGCGGACGGACCGCAGGCTACACAACTGGCAATTGAAGCAAACCAGTTGGCTGCGCGGGTGTGTGGGTGCGTGGGTGCGTGGGTGCGGAAGTGCCAGGTGGGCAGTCGGTGGCAGCCCAGGCAGCCAACGCCGCTAATAGTGCTAATCGGTGCTGATGGTGCTGATGGTGCTAGGTGATGCTCAGCGCCCAGTGCCCTCACTTCTATCTGGTGTCAGGTCAGGCTTTCAAGCCTTCAGAACCCCAGCCTTCGGTTCCAGGCTCCAGTTTCCAGCTCAAACTTGGGTAGTCTTGTGAATCAGGGCGAGGAATCACGCAAAAGCACCAATGGGTGCCTCTTGTTTCTGGTATTTCTCTCCTTTCTCTCGCTCTTTTTCCCAACAGGGACAAGCGACAGGCGCGCAGCAACCAGTCAGTCACCACTCACCACTCACAGGAGACCAAGACAAGCCACAGCAGCTGCCCTTCGAGAGCCCTTCACTTGCAAGTTTGGGGGCAGCCGTGACTGGGCATGGTACGGAGCAGGGAGCACAAGAGAAAAGGATCAAGAGAAGGGCCACATACGCAAACACATGGGGATTGACGCGGCTTTGAGTCTGTACGGACTATTACTGTGTTTCTACTCGATATCCACCCACGCGCAGCAAGCAGCAGAGCATCGCCAGCGGTAAGAAGCGCGCACAACCACGTCAAATCGTGAAAAGCCAAATGCCGCCCACCAGGAACGCGCCGTACGGGAGAGAATGTATATTTAGTTACTTTTCATATCTGCTTGGTTGCTTCCCCAGCCAACGGTTTGCCCACAGGCTACTCCGGACTGGGTGGATGGAGGATCATGTTTTCCTTGAACGGATGCTCACGCCAGCTCTCTCGATACCTAGGTTTTCCCTATTCTACGCCCGACGAGGGCTCCGTGTCTCTGGTGAAAGTGGAGGCAGAAATCATGTTCATTGCGGTCAGATTTCGGCCCAAACCAGTTGGCAACTAACAAGCCATCAAGCCAGCAAACCTTCATCACCGTCACAAACATCCGTCACAAATGCTCCGTATGCGTTCATCCTTGGTCAATCTCCATCCCCCACCTTGGCCCCTGCTGGCAATCGATAAAGGCACCGGACCATATCGATATACATACCAGGGCATAGCAATTTCCCGGGCCATGTTACGCGCACGCCGCACAATCCACACGGCATTTTCTACTGCTCAGAGTCCGGAATTCAGTAGCCCAACCCTGCACTGCCACCTCCACGTGGCCCGCTGAACATGCCCACCATCAAGAAACCCAACAAGTCAACGGTGTCGGATCGACAATAATATTGAACCATTGACCCGATAGTCGAAACTCTGCTTTCGTCCTCCGCGCCCTGGGTATGCCAAGATAGAGCTGGCCAGCCAGGCTGGAATAATAACCTAAAATGCACATATGCATGCTCGCTGCTTGCTATCCTGAAACAGGCCAGGCCTGATTGTCACAAGACAGTCAGGCATTGCCTGCTGGTGTGAGCCACGCTGGCAGCCACCATGTTGACGGTGCATTTCCGGAACGTTTTATCTGCTGCATCCGCTGCAACCTCAATTCGACTGCTGGATGCCTACTTTCCTGAAGAGCAGCCCCGTTGATGCGGCTGGCGATTTGCCCAGAATTGTGCGTGTATCAAATGCAAGATAAATTCACCTTCGCCGCCTGTGTAATTGGCTTGCAATCTGCGGCCCGCTCCTGAACCAAGTTTTCGATATATAACCGACTGGATGTCACTGTGCCAATAATGCTGCGAGGAAACCCCTCAAACAAAGTTTGCAAAGTTCAATGCAGCATGTCGACTTTGATACGCGACTTGGATCTGTCTCATCACCCGACGATTCCACGCATCATCTGGAACGAACTGACCGAGTTATCAGCTTGCGCGGAGTTCCTTCAAGGAGTGTCAAACTTTGCTCGAGCACTCAAAACGGGTTTCCGACCCGCCTTTTCTCGCTAGTCGCTGTGCTTCGCTCTCTTTGTTGATCCTCTACGAGGTATTCCCTTTGGAATCCAAGAATCGTGGCGAATATATTTGCGCTCAAGTCTTCCGCCTGTTTCGAGATCGGCTACAGACTCGATGACCTAGGCGGAATTCCGTTCCCTGTCGCAAGGAAGAGAATGCGGACATGGTCCTCCGGATAGTAGACCACAAATTGCAGGACCATCGAAGGCCAAGCTGACTGCGCTCCTGACAGTCGGGTAGAGGGGGAACGTCGCTATCGAGGTGGACAGACATTGATCCTATCCGGCTCACGTCAGGACAAATTGTCGCCTTGGCCATCGAGGCACGACCGTTCCGTCCGTCACGAGTAGTTTTCGCAGTAGTTTTCGCAGGTTGGGAAGTTATGTTTTGCAGAGGCTAGTGCTGCCAAAGCTTATGCAGCATTTGTCGAGGTCACCGTCCCCGACAATTCAGCTCTCAATGTCCTAATATTTCACGTCGTGAAGACCCACGCGTGAGCAGCGCCAGCTTCGGCGGTGGGTGTGGTGGCTAGCAGCCTCTTCTGTGGCGGGCGCATTGGCAGCGGACCATTCGATCTTGGATTCGCCTCAAGCCACTGTGCCTGCATGCATTCCAACAGTAGCCCATCGTCAGGCAAGGGGCGAGGGCGATTACCATATCGATGACTCAACCGAGCTGCACGTCCAATGCTGCATGACATAACCGATGGTTTCATAGGAATCCGTATTATCGAGGGCTCGAGGACCCATGAATTGAACCTGTGCGGAACGATTGCTCGAGATTCTTGGCCAACACGATGTCACGTCTCTTCCGTTCTCCTCTCCCAAGGGTGGTTACCCTAATATTATCCAGCCACCCACCCTCTCGTCGTCAAGATGCCAGAGTCAAAATCCTGATACATTTCTGGTGTCACTCCAATTTCGTCCATCCAGAGCTTCGTGAGGAATTGGCTTGCCTCGTGCACACTCATACCCATGCACCTATGATCGACGTAGCGAATCGGAAGTCCGTACTTTGATCCCTTAGAATGGCAAAGCAGAAGTTGATCGATTTCACTTTGTGCTTCTCTGAAAGCGCTGATTCAGTATCGATGATTCTGCCGTTGGAATTTGCGGTCAGGCCTACTATACATAACGGAGGCGGCCCAGAAACACATATTCGACAGTAGTATACGACGCACCCAGAAGTCTCCCTCGGGTACAAGATGTTGCAGCACACGCAATGAAGCATGTTGGAGAATTCCATCTCCAGCGGTCGCAAAAATTGTCCTTTGTACGTCTTGTCATTCCGTCACAGTAAAGGAGAATGGTCCAAAACATGATAAAATGCCTTTGTCACTCGGCTTAGTGCCACCTTGCAGTCAAGAGGCAAGTATCGATTCCAAGTGGCTCGAGATGTTCCATAGCATATTGATTGGGCTTGGGCGAGGATTGCTTGCACCTTATAAGGGGGAGTCACCCTGGCCCTGCAGCTTTAACAACCGCCCGCCGCTCCTCCTCTCACTTCTTCTCACTTCCTCCTTTACCCTGAGGGTCCTTTGGCATCTGATTCTGCCTTACCTAGCCATGCCAGTGAGAAGCCACCTTCCTTCCCCTCTGCAATGTCCTTCGAGGTTCTCTCTCAAGAAGGACAAAAATGGCATCCAATCCAGGTCGCGGCTGACTAGTTGCGGAATCATACAATCCTTCCCACTCCGCCGTTGTTTCATTCCTATTCTACTCTCTCCACGATCTAGGAGACCCCGAACATCCTTATCCTTCCATCTACTGCTGACGCGGCCGGCCCTGCTCTATCATTGCGACGGACGAAATATGGGCTCAAGCTAAGGCCAATGGATTCCAAGGACGTGCGTACATTGAAGCTGACCAAGTTCGCGACGGAGAGAAATATGTCCCTAAGACGAAGAAGCACTACGATCGAACCGATATTTACCTAAATCTAGGTTCTATAGCAAACACCGCCGCATCCACCGGCAGGTCCACAGATGCACTCGAACTAGTCATTCGACACCTACACGCAGTACACCGAGCTTTGGAGACCAGGAACCATCAAGCGCGAAGAATAAAATTTCTCCTTACCAACCATTTCTTGAATCGGTATGCTCCTCCAGAATTGTTGCTAGTCCTCCGACACGTCTCGGTTTGTTCTGCTCTTTGTAGAACAGCTATCCTGAATGATGGGAGCGAGCTCCTTAGGACTTGTCCTCAGGCTTCACTTCATGACAGGTTATTCTGCCGGGGCCCAAATTCTGTTAGGAGCACGTTCCTAGGATAAATCTCCTCCTCTGTTCCCATGTCCTGGAGGCATATGAAAACCGAGGAGAATTCTGATCTGAGGCGACGGACCGTCCCGGGAATACTTGCTGAGTACATCGGACTTTGCAGCACACGCACGCACACACTGTGTTTGGTCAAGAATAGGCTCTCGAAAGGCTCTTACCCCAAGTTTGCCCAAGTATTACCCCGTACCGTGCCCGTACTAAGTAGTGGCTCGGTGGGTAACTAGTGGGGCACCCAGGCGCTAAGCTCAGGCTAGTGCTTAGCGCCAAAATTGGTGACAGTTTATTTCCGAGGCATGGCCGCATAGTCCACCACAACACCGTGCACTCTCTATAATACAACAATATTAAATCTAGCCAGTTCTCCTAGTAATTAGTATGGTAGAACAGCCCCTCCTCGTGCGCGGATATCGCGAATCCTATCTGGCATAGCATCGATATACACGTCGATATCTTTCTTCTAATCTAAGTTATCCCAGATCTCGAGATTCCATTGTCTCATTTAAGCGGTACTTTTCGCAATTCCTTTCGCCTTTAGCCGCTGTTTAACAGCCCTCCACACCTTCTCAATAGGATTTAGATCAGAAGATCTCGGAATATTAGTATACCAGGGTATTTCGAGCT